CACAAAAAAAAAATCCCCAAAAAAAAAAAAAAAAAAAAACTCACGCCAGGTGTGTGTGCATGCGTGCCCAAGATCCTGAGAGGAGAATGGAGGAGAAGGGATTGCGGTGTGGCCATCCCCCCTGGGGGGTAATTTCTCGCTTTCTGTCTCTCTGTCTCTGTCTGTCTGACAAACACACGTGCCCTATAGCAAAAACCTCTAAAAAAAAGAATTGTTCTAATCTATGAAATGGGGAGATGGCAATTGCTGAGGTTGCAGTCTGCATGAAGAAGGGGTAGTTCTCATGCAGGGGACCGCAGTGGGACTCAGGGCAGGGTGAGCTAGTGGGCATATGCTCTCACCTTATGAGTGCATGCGTGCGCCCTCAGAAGGATGGCGGTCTAATTTGCATTGTGTGCATGGTGGCCAAGGGAGAAAAGCAGGTTTAGGGACTTTTTGGCAAATCCAGGACTTCTTGGCAAATCCATGGGTGTGCTGTGGAAACCTGTTTGGTAGGGACTGAGGAGCTCCTGGGGATAGAACTTTCCCAGGAGGGAAGAGGGGCCCAGCATGGCCAGCCAGATCCAATGCTGATTCTGTTGACTCTGTCTCATGGCCGGGGCCCCATAGGCACATGCCTGAGCTCTGCGGAGAACCGAAGGGCTGTTGATGTTTCCACGCGGTAGCGGTGACCGATGCACCCTGGGTACCTCCTAATGGAGGACACAGCCCTCCGTGCTCTCTGAGGGGCTTCTCATCTGCTTGCTGAATCGATACAGCTTCAGAAGAGTCCTCTCAGCTGCAGCTGAGGTGGTGGGACTGGAAGACCAGCAGTAAGTACGCGGCCACAGCTGTTGTCTCAGGGACCGAGGTGCCTTGTGAGAAGTGGCCGAGAGTGGAGGTGCAGGTGAGCACGCGTCGGGCACTCCCGGTGGGTTCTCAGGAGGACACAGGATACTTGGCAGTGACTGAGAGCCTGTGGGAATTGACGGTGACATTTCGGTTATTACTATCAGTGTCATCCCACCTTCCTCTGGATTGTGAGGCCTTGGGCAGACAAGGCATCGTCGCAAACTCCAGAGAGGTGCTTCTTGTCACTTTGGGGCAGATAGTTCTGAATCAGTGACATCCTATCCCACCATTCTGTTCACCCAAATCCTTTACCTGGATTCGAAAGAGACCTACCTGCCACTGGCTACACCTCACAGCCATTCCTTCATACCATCACTCACCAGTGTGGACATCTACGGTGTGTCAGAGGCAGTGGGGGCTCCCTGGGGTACGCCTGACAAATATTCAGCATGTGCTGAGTGGTAAGAGTTGGTCTCTGGAGCTGGTCTGCCGGAGTTCAAATCCCAGCTCTCTACCTGCTGTGCACCCTCTGGTGTGCTAGTACTGGAGATCTTTCCCCTCCTTTTTCACCAACAGAAGTTCTAATACCACTAGGCATATGACCTTGAGCAAGTTACTTCATCTCTCTGGGCCTCATCTGTAAACTGGGGCAGTTAAATGATGCCCACCCACGGGGTTACTGCGAGAGGACACGGGTTACCACAGGCAGCACTCCTGGAGCTATGGCCGCAGCATTGCCCAGGACACTCGGTTAACCTTATTTCTGGTACTGTGATCAGCATGTGTCAGATTAGCCTCGGAAGCTGACCGTGCCTAGGACTGGCAGTCTCGTTAGAATGCAGATGCTGACCTGGTGGCTTAAACTCACGCGGTGCATGTGTGTGTGTGCCCAGGATCCCAGGAGGAGAATGGAGAAGGGATTGTGGTGTGGCCATCCCCTTTGGGGGTGATTTCTCACTTTCCCTCTCACTGTCTCTATCTCTCACTCTCTCTCCAGTGAGTACGCATGCCCTAAGGCAAAAAAAAAAACCCTCTGAAATACATAAATACATTTTAAAAATTTAAAGAAAAGGCAGATACTGAGCCAGCCGGCCAGGGGCCGAGGTTCTGTAGTGACATCCCTCTGCGAACAGTGGGCCACATGAGCTGCGAAGTCCAGACGCTTTACTGAATGCTGGGGTCTAGCAGGACACGGGAGCTGCGCAGTCACCGTAGTCAGAGAGCTAATCACCCGTGTGGGATGCGGGGTGGGCCGTGAGGGTCAGCAAGCAACCATCCTGTCCACTTCCACTGTGACAGGTGTAAGGAGTAAAGCTGAAGTGGTGGAGAGTGCGAGGAAGCCTGGTCTCAAGCTCAGAAGTGCTCCTTGGTGGCAGGATGTTTGGGCCGAGACTTGGCAGGTGCGCTGACTGTGGGAGAGACCTGACTGTTGAAGAGGGAGGGAGAAGCCGAGGGCCTGGCATGGCCAGTCAGGAAGGAGCCAGGCACAGACCAGGAACCCACTGCAGGCCAAGCGTGGCTGCTGCTTAGAGAGCCAGAGAGAAGAGGAGCAAGAGGACGTGGGGCCTTTGAAAGCCACAGGAAGGTTTTGTGTCTTTATTCCGAAGACCATGGATAGCCTTTGAGGGGTGGTATGAGTGACATGCTCAGATTTTATTTATCTATTTATTTTAAAGAAAATCATTCTGCACTGTACAGTGTGTGCTGGATGGGAGATCGCATTTTGTGTGCTGTGATGATGCTTGGGGAAGGAATGTAAATTGAGTTACAAAAAGAAAGGTTTCAGGAAAAAAAAACCTATCTATTCAATGACTGCAGTAGGATATGTAGCCCCAGCTAGGTGCTACTTTATAGGATGCGTAAAGTTAGACTTGTGTTCATGGAAATGTGTGTGTCACCTGTGTTTGCTATGAGGGTATTTGGATTGATTAGGGTCTTTGGTGATTCAATAAAATGTGGGGGGAAACAGTATAGAAAGCAAACATAGATACCAGAGACAGTGTGGGAGGAGAGTGGGAGATGGCAGAGGGTAAGAGATAGGGAACCAACGATGGAGGGAAAAAAGCAAAACATACAGAAAACAAGAAATGGAAGATCATTTGCTGACAATAACATGTTTGTTGATGTGCTTGATTGAGACAATATACAGTATACTCTGGATGGAAAATCTCATTTTGTATGCTGTAATGATGTACAGTGAATGAATGCAAATAAATAAACTAAAAAAAAAAAGAAAATCATTCTGGCTGCCACATGGAGAATTGTCAGAGAGGAGGTACGAGGGATACTGGGAGACGGGCAGGCGAGGAGGTTGTTGACAGCGTTGGCAGTGGGGATAAACATACATTTCGGGCACATATTGAAGGGTGAACTAAGAGGCCTGCAATGACATTAGGGTTCAACCTTGAGCTGGACTGGAGCTTTCTACTGGCTGAGATAGGGAAGACTGGGGGAGAACCAGGCTTGGGGAAAAGACGAGTTTAGATTTGTCATATTCAGTTCAAAATGCCTGAGTTATCCAAGCATAATTGTTGAGCAAATTAGTAATTGTCCCTTAATATTTTTTCTCCTCCTCTTCAGTTTTTAACCAAGCATAAAACACCTAGAATCAACTATTTCTCATCTTTCCTCCTACCTGGGTAAGTTCTAGCCAATTAGATATAAGCAGAAGTGGGGGTGCTACTTCTCACAAGTGTCTTTATGAAGGAGTACTTCTCCTTATGTTTCCTTCTTGCTGGTTGGAATGTGTATGCAATGACTAGAGCTGGATCAGTCGTTTGGGGCCAGAAGGTAGAAGCCAAAGGTTGAGGTTAAAGAGCCACAGCCTAAGAAGCCTGGGTTCTGAAGACCGTGGAGCTGCCTTCCTGCCTTCGGCCTGCCTGACTTCATATCTCCATTCTGAGAGACGCTTAACCTGTGAAAGTTGGCGGAGTAAAATGAAGTCATTCATGTCAACTACAGTTACACCTGACTAAACTGAGCTAGGAAAGGCCATGGAGGGGGCGTGTCTTATGCAGGCATGCCTGGTAACAAGGCCCATCACAAGGACCTGCCAGAACCACAAGCTTGGACAAAAGCCACCGCCTCCCCGATAGGAGGACTACTTCTGAGAGGATACTCCACGAGAACTGGCTGTCCGGCCCACGTGACTCCAGTTACAAAGGGTTACTAATTCCAAAGCAGTGATGTAAGCTCTCCCTTCTTGTTTGTGGTTTTTGCCTTTCAGATCATCCGAAGTCTCTAAGACCTCAATACCCAGATCCAGAACCACCCGGGTAGTGTGGTACCTGGCCATCCGCCTCGATCCTGGCCCAAACAAATTCCTTTTGCTTCACATACTTTGCCTCAGTTTACCTTTTAAGTTGTCAAGTGCCAACAATACTGCAGTTGCGGGGAATGTAAGATTTCTGTCACGTTGAGCCTCCCGTTCTGTCGGATTTGGTCACTACTCACCGAATCCGCTGTTACCTGAGACGGAAGCTGCTTTGCATTCTTTCCACTAGCATCTAGTAATGTTTCTATCTACTTTGTTTTCATCGTAAG